TGAGCACCTGGGAGGGGATGCACTTCCTTAAAAGTAAACCCAAAAGCCGACCACAAACTGAAAAAAATCAGAATCCCAGCCTGGTTTGTGTTGGAAGGCTCCTTAAAGCTCATCCAGTTTCAACCCCTTGCCACAGGCAGGGACACCTTTCACTAGACCAGGTTGCTCCAAGCCCCATCCAGCCTGGCCTTGAACACTGCCAGGGATGGGGCAGCCACAGCTTCTCTGGGCAACCTGTGCCACTGTTAGAGAGGGTGAAGTTTTTACAATAGAATAATTATATAAAATAGTAGAAATGATTATGTTCGAGAAATTTATAAATCAGTAGTGCGGTTTTGTATATTAAAAATGTTGTAACTTCGCAATTTTGTATCACGGTTGTTCTGTAATCAGTGTTGCAATGATATGTGTATGGGTGGATTTAGAAAGGTATGTACTGGAGACTATACCCAAATGGAACCTATGCATAAGGTAGCCAGAAGAGCATACCAGAAGCTGATAAGAAAATGCTAGCGTCCACACAAGAATTGGGATATATCCAAGTAAGGAAAAGGTCCTGAGGAAGACTTCTTACTTCATCTGAGGAAGACTCCTTACTTCATCAGGACGACCACCAGAGGGGGCGATGCAGGCGCAGAAGAGGCTGATGTCGTAATAAACTGATGTAGCAATCTTTGATGCATATGTATTAGTCAATGATGTAATCTGTGTTGAATATGTATTAGCTACGAAATTTTTAGTGTATAAATTACGAACGCGATGTGACGGGAATCGAAACCAGATTTGGGTGCGTACCCCTGGTTCCCGGCGCCTCAATAAAGCACCTCATATAACCATCCCGGTGGTTATGTGTTTGTCTCGACGCTAACACCACCGCCTCAGCACCCTCACAGGGAAGAACTTCTGCCTAAGATCTCATCTCAGTCTCCCTTCTGTCAGGTTAAAGCCATTCCCCCTTGTCCTGTCCCTACAGGCCCTTGTCCAAAGCCCCTCTCCAGGTTTCTTGTAGCTGTTTTAGGCACAGGAAGCTGAACCACTGGAGTTCTCCTCCACTTTGCTTTCTGCCCCAGCAGACACTGTGAACTTGCCCAGCATCCATGGGGCCGTGCGGGCTGTGGGGTCTCATCTGAAGGACCATCTTGAACCTGCCCATCAACAACGCGGGTGTCAGCTCGCACACCATGCTGCACTCTCTGGATTCCCAGGAGATGCTGTGTTTTCCACCAATGCCATTGGGCCCCTCCAGGTTGCCAGGGTACCTTTTGGGTTTCTCCTGCTTGGGGAGATGTTCTCTATGGCAAAGGTGGCTTCTGGGTGGGTTCTGGCTCTCTCAAATGAGTAGAACTGATGAGACAAGACCAGGACCGTGGGTCGCCTCTACCCACCTGAAGGAGCAGGGAGGCAACTCAGCCTATCCCCAGCATCTCCAGTGCTCTGCTGCTCTCTCTCTGGAGCTCCTTCCTGCTCTTTCCTTGGGGAAAGGAAAGGCTTGAGCCTGGACCCTCCTTGGGGCATCCTTCCCCTCCCTTGTCCTTCTGCCGGAGGTGTCTCTCCCGTGGTCTGCAACAGAGACCTCCAGGGCGCACCTCAAGCTCGAGGCTTGTCCCATGTTAACAGAACATCTGTGTCTTTGGCAAGGGATTTCTGCCACTCCTGGAGAAGGCAGTGAAGGGCTCAGGGCAAGAGGGGCTGCGCTGCAGCAGGGCTGCCATCATCAACGTCTCCACCAAGCTGGGCTCCATCGGGCTGTGCGTTGGTGTGCACCAGGCCCCATGTACCCATACCGTGCCAGTGAGGTGAGGAGCCAGGGACAGTGCTGGGGATGCTCTGCATGCCCAGGGCACGTGGAGGGGTCACACACACCCTGCCTGGTTTTCCAAGTGTCAGCTTGGAGACCAAGACAGCAGGACCCAGGACTGAGCCTTTTAAGGAGGTTGTGCCAATGCTGTACCCCACGGCCAGGTCCTATTTCCCACCCTGTGGCTGGGAAAAGTCCCCCTTCCAGCCCACCCATACCGCAGGTCATGCTGGCATGGCACTACTTCTTCCAGGCTGCCCAGAATATGGTGACAAGGTGCTTGGCTGCGGAGCTCCAGGACAGGGGGATCTTGTGCACAGCTATCCATCCTGGCTGGGTGAAGACCGACATGGGAACAGAGAAGGTTCTGGGCTGTGCAGGGGATGGTCAGCAAGACCCCCACTGTGCCTCCAGCTCTCGAGCTCTTTGGGATGTTGTGTGATGCTGTGAGCTTTCAGGACCATCTCCCGGTGCAGACAGGCAGCAAGCTACAGTGTGCCAAGTGCACAGATAACCAGCCCTGTCCCTGCAAACCCAGCAAAAACAGCAGAGCTGTGGCAGTAAATAAAATACCCCCATGAGCACTATGGGTGCTGCTCCCCAGGATCATTATAGAATCATAGAATGGTTTGAGTTGGAAAGGACCTTAAAGCTCATCCAGTTCCAACCCCCTACCACAGGCAGGGACACCTTCCACTAGAGCAGTTAAAACAAAGCCAAACCAAAGACGCTGCAGCATCCTTCACTGTCAGTGGTGGGCTGAGCCACGGTGTTCGAGAGATGATGGTGACACTACCGGAGATCCGAGGACACCTTTAGTTTTGCAGCTCACCACAAAGCCTCCCTAGCTCTAAAAGTACCCAAAACCACATCTCCTTCAGAGCACTGCCTGTCTGAAGCACCTCTGGGATGTGAGTACACAAGGTCCTTGTGCAGCGGAGAAAGCACACGAGGATTTATCCTTCCTTGCAGAAGCAGCCTGACATTTACCTCACCCACCTGCTGAAACAGGATCCCAGACATCAACCTGCAGGCAGCTTTTCTTGGCAAGTTCAAGAACCATCCCTCAGGAACATAGAATGGTTTGAACTGGAAGGGACCTTAAAGCTCACCCACTTCCAACCTCCTGCCACAGGGAGGGACACATTCCACTAGACCAGATTGCTCCAAGCCCTGTCCAAGCTGGCCTTGAACACTGCCAGGGATGGGGCAGTCACAGCTTCTCTGGGCAACCTGTGCCAGGGCCTCAGCACCCTCACAGGGAAGAACTTCTGCCTAAGATCTACCCTAAATCTCCCCTGTTTCAGTTTAAACCCATTACCCCTTGTCCTATCACTACAGTCCCTAATGAAGAGTCCCTCTCCAGCATCCTTGCAGCCCCCTTCACATGCTAGAAAGCTGCTCTGAGGTCTCCATGCAGCTTCTCTAAAGGTCATCTCTGAAAGCTGGCTGCTTTCCATGCTGGTTACAGCCCATGGCATTGATGCTGCACCTTGTCCCCTCTGCAGGCACCGCGGATGGTGGAGCACAGCATGCGTGGCATCCTGACTGTGCTGGCCAGCCTCTCGCAGGACACTTCCAGAGCCTTCCTCGACTGGAAAGGGACCAGCCTGCCCTGGTAACAGGCAGACGACTGTTGCCTCTTGCCCATGCTGTAGCCTCCTACTCACCAGTTCACCCCTCTGCATGGTCACTCTGCTCATCCTCATGCCAGCGAGATGGGAAGGGTGTGGGAAACAACTTCTTCTCCCTTCCCCACCCCACACGTGGCCCTGCAGTCCCCCTGTGACCCCCACCTCTGTAAACACCGGGAGCTGATGCCTCTTTGTTTTTAATCTGCATCCTCAGCCTCAACCTCCCCACCAACAGCCTGAGCACTGTGTGTCTGTCTGTCCGGCCTCTGACCACAGCATCTCCCAACTGAGGGGAGAAGGCAGCTGCTCCCTGTGCGCCTTGGGGATCTCAGGCAGGGCACACACAACCCTGGGATGTCCCACAACTGGGAAGGGGGAAAAGCAGCCCCATGGATGCTCCAAAGATCTCTCTCCTCCTGGGGCAGGGGCTCTGCCCCAGCTCCGTTGTCAGACACAAGAGACAGCTGTGGGTTGGGTGGGCCACAGTGGGCACAGCAACACACCAGGATAAGGATTTGGGCACCTAGGACGGGGCTGCCCCATATAGCTGTCAGCAGACAGCAAAGCTGGTGGCTCTTGGCAGGGATTTATTGAGGATGTGGGGTGGGTGGGAGCAGCAGCACAGGGCCCAGCTGCCAGAATCCAGGCTGGCGTCTCACCAGGGAACAACATTCCCTTCCCAGTCCAGGAAGGTGCCGGTCTCCTCAAAAAGAAGGAGAGGAGAGCACCTTCAGCATCCCTTGTATTCTCTCATGCACTGTCACTGGGGACTGTGGGGCCATGCCTGAGACCTGGCTAAGGCTGCCCTGGAGCAGGGTAAGTTGCTGTTCAAGGACAAAGGGAAAGCCACCAGCAGGGCACTGAGCAGGGAGTCAAGAGGACGGGGGTACCAGGCACCCAGGACCAAGGCAGGGGGAGATGCCCCGGCAGCAATGGGACAGGCAGGGAGGTCATGGTCAGGAGCTCAGAGCAGCAGCTCGCTCCCATGAAGAATGAGCACAGGGGCTCTGGTTGACCAGCCATGGTGAAACTCCAACTGGTGTCCTGCAGAGCTCCCCAAGTCAGTCTGCACCCATCCAGGGTGGAGAGCAGCACAGAGGACACCATCTTCCTTGTACATCAAGGATTGGAACTTGGTCAGCATGTTCAGAGCAGCCTGCAGGAGACAGGGCAGGGATGGCAGTGGAGGACAAGGGTGTCAGCAAGGGGTCACGTGCAGACCCCATGGCAGGGACAGGGCAGGGGAAGCAAATCTGTCCCCAGTACAGCATGGTGGTACCTTGCTGCAGCGGTATGAGACAATCTGCATTAGATCCCAACCAGCAGGAAAAGAGATGGAAACTCCGTGACTGGACATATTGATGATGGCTGCCTTGCTGCAGCTCAGCAGTGAGCCAGGGCTGTCCCTGGGCAGCCTTCTTCAGCAAGGGCAGGAAGAAAGAGACAAAAGCACACATGGAGGTGGCACAGGGGACAGGACCAGCTCCTTCCACAGCGGTCAGCGCCGGCACCAGCACTGGAGCATCCTTCCTTCTCTTCCCACTGCCCCAGCCCACCAGGCTCCAGCTTCTGTACTCCAGCCCACAGCTCCACAAGCTTCTCATCACATGGAGCAGGGGCAGGACCCCCTCCCACCAGTCTTTGGTGCTGCCACGGGACAGCTCAGCTTGGGCGAGGGTCTCACCTGGCCCATCAACAAGGGCCCAATCGTGTTGGTGGTGTAAACGTGGGTCATGTCCTCCAGTGTCTCCTTATCAAGTGTATTCAATATCGCCATTCCTGCATTGTTGATGAGGAGGGTGAGCCCCGAGCCCCCCAAGCGCTCTCCGACTTGGGCTGCAGCCGCTTCGATGCTGGCAGGGTCGGTGACTTCTGCAGAGCCGACACAGGAAGCTCAGACCCTCACATCCTGGCTTGGAGATGGTAGCACTGGTGTCCCCAGAGGAACGGCTGCCTCCCAGCTCTGGGTGCACAGCACCAGAGCACTCGCCAGGTCTGTGGTGCTGGGCAGAGAGGGGAACCGGGGCAGGAACCGGCTCGGGGCACCTACCGAGCGGGATGATGACCAGGTTCCGGTGCCTGGAGGCCAAACGCTGCAGCTCCTGCAGGAGAGGGGGTCGTGTGGGCATGGAAGGGCAGGAGGGGCTGCGCACAGGCTCAGCCTTCCCCAGGCACAGTTCGTGTTGCTACGGCTCCATCCCTGCTTCGCCTCGCACCCAGCTCCCTGCTCCAGCTCCTGCCGACGGATGGTGAGCGCTCCATGCCTCCTGCTCACACCAGGGGCCACTGTCCCCTCAGCACATCCCATGCACGGACAGTGCCACCGTGTCCCACCCCTGCCCTGTGCCACCGGTGCTGGAGCCCTTCCTTGGCAAAGCCCCTGCCTGCTCCAGCCTGTGCCCCGTCCCCAGCTCCCGTCCCCAGCAGCGCCCGCTGCGTCCAGCCCAGCTTCACCTGCGCCCGCTGCTCCGTGGGGGCCCGACAGGCTGCAAAGACCCACTGGGGGGGGGTTGGCATCCCCAGGAAGTGCTGGACCAGCCCCAGGCTGATGCCCCAGTTGGCCCCAGTCACCAGCACTGAGTGGATCCGAAGCCCTGAAGTGCTGCTCTGTCACTACTGCACTGCTCTCACCCTGACTCCGCAGTTGCTTTTTGCTACTGGGTTATCTCACTTTTTCCCATGAGGGCTTGCATCAGCCCTTGCCTCTAGGAAATTCTCGGCCTGTACCCCATTTTTTTTTGGCCACGGTCCATATCCATGGTCCACCTTTACCAGCAGCCAAGGAATGACACAGAAGGAGCAGAGTATCCTGCCCAGGCAGGGAGTGCCCTGGGCAGGATACCTGGAAAGCTGCCCTTTGTACCTTCCCTGCTCCACCACATGTCCTGCTTTCCTGTGCCCCTTGCACAGGAAATGCCCCTTGCCATTGGCACCATCCTTCATGGGACACAAGGCTCTGTCCCTCCCGTTGCCCCATGTCAGCCAGGCAAGAGTGACAGGCTGACCCCACGCAGTGCACTTTGTTGGCCTTAACTTGTGGAACACCAAAGGCAGGGTGGGGATGGAGCAGTTGGGACATGTGAGTGTCCCTTCACCCTAGTGGTGGGGTTCTGGTTGAAGAAACCAGCACCCCACTAGCACTGCTTGGAAATCCTCAAGAGCAACCCCTGAGGGTCTGCTCTATCACAGCTGTAGTATTTACGTGGTGAAGGTCACAGAAGGATAAAATTTAGTTTCCTCCCCCAGGGCACACACAAGAGATGAGAGATACCCAATCCCAGGGTAGTCCCAGCTCATTCCTGCAGCAGTGAGGCAGTGATGGACTGATTTCCCAGCTGCTTTCCAAGGAAAATATATGACTAGTGGTACAGGAGTGTCAGGACAGGCCTGAAGATCCACCATGAGCTCCTGCTGTGCTTAAAGTCAATTGAGAAGCACCACATGCTCGTCTCCATATGCTGATGAACATCCATGAGCATCCCATGGTGGTTCCTGCTCTCAGACTCTGCACAGACCATTTGTAATAGCAGAATCACAGACTGGTTTGGATGGGAAGGGTTCTGAAAGCTCACCCAGTTCCAACCCCCTGCCACAGGCAGGAACACCTTCCACTAGAGCAGGTTGCTCCAAGCCCCGTCCAGCCTGGCCTTGAACACTGCCAGGGATGGAACATTCATAACTTCTCAGGAGATATATTTACGCTAGTTAGGAGATGTTCTCTAGGTCATTAAGACTATTAACAGCAGCAGAGCAGGCAGGTGACTGCCTGGGGAGAGCCTGGGGCTGCTCAGCACTGTTGAAGCCAGAGCGGAGGGAAGAAATGTGAAAACAAGCAAGTGTTGCAGAGGTGGTTTGGCATCACGTGTGAGCCACCGATTGGGAAGCGACAACAGAATGTCAGACAAACAACAGGGAAAAGAGGGTGTGTGCCCAGGAAAAGCCTGGAAGATGAGGAGCCTGCTGTGTGCTGGGGCTGTGGATAGACAGGGATGGGAACAGGGATGGGGATGGAGTTGAAGATGTAGATCTGATTGTGGATGCAAATACGAATACAAGTCAGGGTGGGGCTGGGAATGTGGATGGTGTTGGGGGTGCTCTTAAGAGTTGGGAATGCAAGTAAGGAGGGAGATGCTGTTGGGGATGTAGACAAGGATGGAGATACAGATGTGGATGGAGCTGGGGATGCAGATGGGGATAGGTTTGGAGATGCAAATAGGAATGGGAATAGGAATGGTGATGGAGTTGGGGATGCAGATGTGAGCAGGGCTAGGTATGCAGACAGGGATGGGTGTGTGGATAAGGTTAAGGATACAGATGGGGATAGGGTTACAAACAGGGATAGTGATGGGGATGCAGACGTGAATGGTCTGATAAACACATAAATGTATTGGCTTTCGCAAATCATACGTGTTGCTATATGGATATAACTGTATGAGTTCACAAAGTTTGCTAAAGACACAAGATTAGACAGTAAGTTGAAAATGGCGAGAACTCTTGAGCAAAATGGAGTCACAGCAAAAGAACTGGTAAAGGTAAAAGAAAAGTGTGTGTGTGGTGCTGGTGGGGGACACATACACTGATACGAGGAAAGCTAGTGTCTGGAAAACATAGGGTTAAAGTACTTTTAGCTTAACTGAGGTTGAAGATAAAGAACAATGTTTGTGTTGTAAGTCTGTGGTGACGTAACAGGATTTAGTGGCCCTGCTAAACATGAATGAATGATTTCACACCATCCTTCTACTTACCAGTTAGTTTAGAGACAGAGCCTCCCAAACATCTGCTAGCTTGGGATACCCCTTGTCTGCCTGTCCTGTTTTGCCTGCAATAAATTTTGCAGGAAGGTCACACTGTTCTAAATCTTTGCCAGTGTGATAAATGTGGGGGTTGGAATGTACTGAAACTGTCAGAGACCATGGGAAGGAGGAACTACAGCAGGCAGTTAAGAGTGACCCATCCCTGACTGGTACTTGGAAGATGCTGGAACTGGCAAGGCACAAGGACGTCGGAACTGGAAAGAGGATGTCGATAGGAAAATCAGGTAGACCTTTCACCTATGTAACCGCAAGGCAAGCACAGATGTACTTGGCTAATTGCTTGGAAGCATATAAATATCGTGTAAACTTTGCAATAAATGATCCAGCTTGCACTCTATCTCTGGGTCTGTGCCTCCGAACTCACACATAAACACATAAATGTATTGGTTTTCGCAAATCATAGGTGTGGTTATGTGGATATAACTGTACCAGTTTACAATAACAGAAACAAAGCTCGCTAAAGACACAAGATTAGACAACAAGTTAAAAAGGGCCAGAACTGTTGAGCAAAACGGAGTCACATAGCAAAAGAATTTGTAAAGGCAAAAGGAAGGAGGGGACGGGCCAGGAAGACTCGATATAAGAAAATCTAGTGCCTGGAGAACATAGAGTTAAAGCACTTTTTAGCTTAACTTAGGTTGTGGAAAGAGAGCAGTGTTTATGTTGTAAGTCTGTGGAATGTAGTGGCCCCCCTAAACATGAGTTAATTGTTTCACACTAGTCTTTGAAAGTATCTTTAGCCTTAAAGAGGAATGTTTGTGTTGTAAGCCTGTGATGAGACAACGGGATTTAGCGGCCCCACTAAACATGAATGAGTTATTTCACACCATCCTTCTAGTTATCAGTTAAGAGACAGAGCCTCCCAAACATCTGCTAGCTTGGGATGCTCCTCGTCTGCCTATCCTGCAATCAATTTTGCAGGAAGGTCACGCTGTTTTAAATCTTTGCCAGCTGTCAGAAGAATTACAGATATGGCTGGTTTCAGCCAGTTGTGTGGTTACTGGGGCGTCCGACTGTGCCAAAGGTGAAAAGTACGCCGCGAGGAAGGCTGCTTACGTCATCCTCAAGACCCCCGCCCACAGTCACCGGAGAGCAGTTGCAGACGCCAAGAGGAGGAGGCTTATGATAGGAAGTTCCGGGAGTTAGTTATAATATTCCCTGCCTATACGTGGGAATTATGAATATGCATGTCACTAATGCAATAGGGAAAGTATATAAACCTGTAACAAATGCTAATCGCTTGTGCCTCTGGCTACGGTCATGTGCCCAGCGCTGGGGCTTTTGCTTCGTTGACCTTGCCCCTCAATAAAACTCTGTTATTTCGTTTAGAGGAGTGAGTTCGTATTTCACAAAGGGAGGGAACGGCGGACATGCACGCGGACGCGGACCACCATACCGACGCACCTGCGCAACTGGGCGCGGATGGCAGAAGGAGGGCGCCGGGCTGCGGAAGGGGAAGTGGCGCGCTCGGAGGCGCCCCGCCCCGTTTCCTGTTTCCGGGTCGCGGACCGGGTTCCGCTTGGCGCGCAGGGCAACGGTGGCGGCGGCGGCTGGAGCCGCGCTGGGGGGGCCGTGAGGACAGAGGGGACCTCACCAACCCTGCCCCTGCCCGTGCCCTCTGCATGGTCCTCCTCCAGCAAAGCGTGTCCCCTGCCCGCGTTCGCGGTTAGGACAGTGACCGGTAAGTTCTGGACACAGGAAAATAACTACTGGTGAGGATGATCAGCTGTATGGGGAGAGCTGGAAAATAAGCTGTCCTGACCTGGCGGGAAACTGGCAAAAGGCTAGGAGTGGGTGCTGCAGGACGCGCTTCCCCACGGCAGCGCATCTTCCCCGTGATTCGGAGAGCTCTCCCGGAACTCGACTGCAAAGCTGAAGTTGACGAGTATTCTTTACTGCGGCGCCGGGAGACATGGGGGATAGCTCCTCCTAGCGTGTCTCATCCTAGGATCAACCCGGCTGTGATTACATTGTCCTTAAACATACATATTCATTAGATTACATACCTTACATCATACTCCTGGAGAATTCTTCCCGCATACGCAATAAAATGTGGTAGTGGGCTTTGGGACCCCTGGTGGTTATTTCTTCATCACTTTGTTTCAGGATCGTTGTCATATCAGTAACCACCAGGTGGTTCTGGCAAAGCTTATCGAAGCTAACAAAGCCTAACAGCCCTATTCTTCAATCAACCCCATTTTTCACCCAGCACAGCTCTCTTAGAATGGGTGTCCAGCTTGGGTCTGGATTGGAGCCATTTCTTGGGGTTGTGGCTGTAATTGAGGTGCAAAATCACTACTGGGATGATGGAGCTTTGCTGTGTCCTGCTCTTGATGATTTGGTGCCTCTTCCCTTGTCTCTCAGGTTTGTGTACAAGAACAAGAATATGGCTTCTCCTAAAGTCTACACCCTGCAGCCTTGGGTCAACAACCTCCTCCTGAATTACGAACAGATGGATCTCAGTGAGAATCTCCTGGCTGGGCAGGTGCTGCGGGTGAGTATTGAGAGGGACTAAAGTGCTCCAACATCTGAAATCCTAATTCCTGGAAGGGTTCAGCGGTTCCCGGTTTGGTATCTGTTTGGGTGACCCTTCCTCCTCGGAATCCCTCATTTTCAGTTGGAGGAGCTTTGATTTGCCCATTTTTGGCAGCTTTCTCTAACTTCTGCACCTCTGGTAGGTATGACCTGCTTTCATCCGAAATGTCTGTGGTCGCCAAGCTCATCTTTCCTCCTAGCCTCACACTCACAGGCTGCCTTGCCTTCTTCCTCCTCCTCTTTGCATCTCTT